GTAATTTTTTATGCTTTCTGATTGCTTCCAGGAAGATGTGATCAAGATGTGGGCTTCCCTTTTCATTCTTCTTATTGCTTAATTCAGAGTAACTTTCAAAGGTGTTGTCTGTTTCCTTGGTATATGGCAGTTGGTATTGGTTCTTGCCTGGGTTTTGGTGTTTTATAGAATGTGATTGTAGCTTGCTATATGGCAGCAGCTGCTGACTCTACTTGTGTAATATAGGGAGACAAAGAGTCCTCCAAAGGCAGAAGGGGGAGGGGGGACATATAACAGCAAAACAACACCAGCCAAAAAGAAAAAAAAATGGAAAAAGAAAAAGAAAAAGACTAACAAACAGCAACAACAAAAAATAGACTGAATACGGCAGTCTGTAATCACAGAAAATGGAGAGGAGGGAGAGAAGAAAAAGAAGGGAAAAAAAAAATCTGTAGCCTAATATGAGTACAACTTTAATGTCCTCTCTTCAGCTTCTTGCTTTCAAAGTTGCCTGAGAGATTTCAAGATGCCAGTGTTGGTTACTATGCTATACCTCAGTGTTTAATTTAATTTTCAGCTTGTTTTGTTTTTTTCAATTTTCTTTCCCTCTTTACATCCCAGTTCAGAAAAGTTCTGGGTCTGCTCTTGGGCTGACTCTCTGTGTGCACGCGTGGCAGAAGAACCCACCAGTAGTGAGGGTGGGGGGTGGCCACACGCTAAGGCTCTCACTCTAGTCACCAGAATGGAGGTGGGTAAACAGTGGGTGCGCCATTGACCAGATACAAAAAACAAAAAAGAAAGAAAGAAAAAGAAAAGAAAATCAGAACAAAGCAAAACTGACAAAGTATATTGTCCACGTTTGTCCCAAGATTCCTGTGGCATTTTTCCATGGTGTTTCTGCTCCCCGTTTCGGATTGCCGTTTGGTCTTCCCAGGATGTCAGCTCCGGGCCTCCGAGCCTGGACCAGCAGATTCAAAAGTACATGATTTTTTACTTTAGCTCAAAATTCCACAAGTTATAAGTCTTCAAACTTTTAAAATATTCCTATCTCTGTGGTTCCGAGTTTTGGGAGCTCTGTCCTGGATCTGCTTTGCCTGGTATTCTGTATTATTGCTGATGTCAAACTTTACTGCACCTCCTTTTTTTTTTTATTATAAATTAAGTTTTTATTGTGAGGTTTCATGGGAGAACATCAGCTTTACACTCATCCTATCATATTTAGTTTCATTGCGATGATCACAATCCCATCCATTGATCATCAAAAAACCCCAAAGATTACACCACACAGGCCCCCCTGCCCTGCCGCCAGCACACAGCCCTTCTCCCTCCCTGAGTCCAGTGTCCTCACCCACTCCCTCTGCTCATGTCATCATCTCTGTCTCCATCCCTGGCGTCACTGCCTCTCTGGGTAGGGTCCTATCTCCGTTCTTCTCACTTGATGGAACCAGGAACCTCTGCTACTGGGCTGCGAAATCAATCACTCTCCTCCTTTTGTCAAAAAACATCTACCTCTATATTTACTAGCCTCACAGTCAGTCCTGATGGCAATTATTCACTATTGTACCACAAGAGTCTTATCCCATTTCCTTTGGCCAGCCCAGTCCCAAAAGATTGGAAATCATTCA